GGGAATAATATAGTGAATTTATGTCAATACAAGACGAAGGACGAGGCTAAGGTTGCATGAGAAAAATATTATGAAAAGAAAAACACGAATAGTGCTTTCCATAAGGAACACTATATATCTAGAAATTAACTTGATAAAACTTTACCAAAGAAACACTATCTAATATAGAAATTGAAATACAGTGTTGAGAATAAAGAGTATGTTCACTACAAAAAAACGCTTATTATCTACGGGTAAAATCCGTAGGTAATGTTACTTTACCTACGGATTTCTTTCCGTAGGAAAATCTGTATGTAATTCGCTCGTAAGTAATTACCTACAGATTTTTTTCCGTAGGTAATGCACTCACCTAAACAAAATATTTTTATTTACTACAACCCCCTCCCCTCTATATTATATTTTTATTAATTATTATATTTTTGAAACTTTGAATTATTATTAGATCCAGGAAATTGTCATTGGCAGGATTCAAACCCAGTACCTCGAGTTGAAGGCTGATACTCCAACCACTAAGCTATTAGGATATTTTGATAATAACTTACAAATAAATTATATTTATATTTATTTGTGTAAATATATAAATATAAAAAATATATAAATATAAATATATTTATATTTTGATATATTTATATTTTGATATATTTATATATTTATATATTTATATATTTATATTTATATTTATATTTATATTTATATTTATATATTTATATATTTATATTTATGTATTTATGTATTTATGTATTTATATATTTACACAAATAAATATAACTATAATTTATTTGTAAATTATTATTAGAATATCCTAATAGTTTAGTGGTTGGAGTATCAATTTTCAACTTTAAGGTAATGTGTTCGATTCTTGCTAGTGATAATTCTTTTAGTTTAATATAATTTACCTACGGATAGAATTTCGTAGGTAATATCCGTAGGTAATGTACAATTTACCTACGGATAGTAATTTCATAGGTAATTACTTACGGAATTACCCATGTAGATAATATCCGTAGGTAATGTACAATTTACCTACGGATTTTTATCCGTAGGTAATATTCGTAGGTAATGTAAAATTTACCTACAAATTTTTATCCGTAGATAATATTTTGTAAATAATAAGCTTTTTTTGTAGTGGTTGTCATGTTACGTTTTATGAATGTGAGGGGAAATGCATGAAGAGTTACAAATGACAAGAAGAACAATACCTTTACAAAAGCCGGAGTAATAGATGAATACATGGTGTCGTTATAAGAAAAATCAATATATTGTTGCAATAATTATTTTTAACAAAAGAAATAGAACATGCATAGTGTTTTTTGTAGGAAATGCCATCTAGAAATTAAATGTATAAACTTTATCAAAGACACGCTACTGAATATATATAACACAATAAGATGAATGTGTCTCCGAATCAACTAAAACAAACATAGCATTTTCTAGCAAAAAATTATCTTATAATTATGAATTATTATTTTAAAATATAATCATCTAGACAAATGTTTAAACTTCAGAGATGTGTTCCTGAATAAGAATTATCCAAAAACTATGTTTTCTCTTGAAGCATTTTGATCCGGAAGCACTATCTCGAACACGCTAGAAATACATTTCCAACATAATGAGATTAGCTAATCACGTTATACTAATAATCTCTCCTTAATTGTTTTTGCTATCCTATATCCCATTTACTTGAGTGTTAAAGAAAATGTATAATATTTATTGTTTGACACTATAGCAAAATGAAGAATTAGATTAATTCAGAAAATATTAAATTGATTATTATATAGTTATTAATCGATTGATAATAACAAAATTAAAATATCAGCATTCGCTTTTTTTTGTGAATATTTAATATTTTTAATGGTGGTTAAAGTTTTATTTATTAGTTAAAAACAAAAGTGAAAGATATTATGTAATCGAATAAACAAATAAAACTTGTTTATTTAATTAATTTATATTTATTTTATCAATAAAACTTACAAGAATGTAAATAAACTGAGAAATATAAAAAGGAATAACAATTTGAGTTGTTAGTTTTAAATTAATTAACATTTTCTTTCTTTCTAAACAAAACCTTAATTTCTAATAGTTGATCCTAGTTTGTGTTCCATATCCTGTATTTTCCTTTTAAGTCTTTTCAAAATAGGCTCTACAATTACGATAAAGAAAATAAATTCTACTCTTGTTTAATTGGTTGTATTTTTTGTTTTGTTTTAACTTTTTCTCTTTTCCTTCAACTACGCATTGGGTTTCATCTTTGGCATGGAAAGCATGAACAAGTGTTGTTCATTGTCGGAATTGGAATAAAGATATTTCTCCTTTTTGATTTCTTTACTTTGTAACTGGCTCCAGAGTTCAAAGCCAATTTCTTCCAACTCTCAATTGAACTTCTAGTGACTGATATTTCCTTTTCAATCAAGCAATGATGAGAATACCAATTTGGGTTGAATTCAGTTTTCTGAGAAGTGTCGTCGTTGAGTATGAATCGTAATGTGTCTTTTTGTGCAACTTGCAACCCTTTCTATATAAGATCTGTCAAGGAAATGCCAAATAATTTCCTATCTCAAGGATATTAAATGAAAGAAATTCTTGATTATGAAGTAAAGTTATGATTAATTTGGGCAAAGACAAATTATCTCCTAACTTTGAAAAGCAGTTCTGATAAAAAGTTTAATTGCCATAATTATTGGTCACCAAGGTTTTAGGTTTTATCATGTCAACAATTTAAATATTAATATATTTAACTCTGTGTGTTTAGTATCCGTAATTTAAATATTAATGTAGTTCGTGTTACCAATATTACGCGCACATTTTTCTTAAAAAACAATATTACGCACATACACTTACTATTATACCGTAGTTATAATTTTTTGTGTTACTATTAAATACAATTTATCCTTTGTCCGCGTGTTCATCAATAAGTTTATTTTTAAAATATAGCATTTAATATATAATAATTCGTCAGTATATATATGCTGACAATAACTTAAATTAAAATATATGCATGTATTTTTCAATATAAGTTTTCATATTGTTTTTAAATTTTACTACGAAGTTTAAATTAATTGGCTGAATAGAGTGACTTATCACAACCTTAAACTTATATTTTTTTTATGAATAAAAATTATCATAAAAAACTTTATTGTTAATATAAAATACTAGTAAAAACATGCGTTTGTTTGGGTTTTCATATTTTAGAAAAATATATAACTAAAACTGTTATGGATAAAATTAATTAAAAATAATTAAAGAAACAATTAAAAAATAGTTATATTATATAAAAAAATTTAAAATAAAAACAGGTATATATATATCTCCTTTAATAATAATATTGATTTAAAAAAGTACTTATACAATATTTATACTATTATATAAAGAAATATTTTTTAAACCTCTTTTCGTATCATTGTTTTAAAAAATATTTTATTTTTTTATCACAAATCATTTAATAAATATAGTCGTATATATATATATATATATATATATATATATATATATATATAAGTATTTTAATTTTTAATAAAATACAAATTAATAATCTCTCAATTCCCAACTAAAAAACAAAGTATATTTTTTACCGTATAATTTTTTAAAACCAAAACAATTCATAATTTTTTCCTAAGCTGGTGGCATTATTTGATTATATATTTTAATAATATATAATATAATATTGTATTTTTAATACTTTCTTCTTTATAATCAAAATATACTGCAAAATAAACTATTATTTAACTAAACTATTATGTCTGTACAATAAATAATATTATATATATATATATATATATATAAATAAAGTTAATATATGTAAAACAATATGAACACCCACACAAAAAACACATGTGTTTTCGTAAAAAGATAATATATATATATATATATATATATATAATTTTTTTTAATAAATACTAATACATATATTTTGATTTGTTTTGGAAAGAACCTATTTAAAAATATATCTTTGATTGTACCTGACCAAACCCGAAATTGTAACTTGATATAATTTATATGGAAAAAAAAAAGTGTGCCTACAACCTATGGTCAAAATAAGCATTTGAACAGTTGACACCTAAACTGTTTGATCAAACAATTAAAAAGAAAGCTTGACCTAAATAGTTTTCCTATTTTAAATAGGCTGTCCACGCCTTATGCTAGAAAAAAAAAACAACTAATAAGCACTAGGTATCTTAAAAATACTCACTAAAAAGCGATATATGCATAAATTAAATACTTCTTAAAATAAATATTCTTTTACAGCAATGTCTTTAAATGTGATTTTCTAAGACAATGTTATTTAAATGTAGAGATTTGAAATTAAAATTTTGGTTGATGACAGTAGAGATAAAGATTTGGGGGTAATATGTTGAGTGGGAGTGAATGCCATGAGGTAGGGGTGGGGTGGCTTGAAGTGATCCTTCGTCACGAACAGAGTTGATAATTTAGAAGATGATAGAAAAGAGAGGGTAAGAAAAGGTAGTGAGGCTCGTATAGCAGTACACAAAATGTGGTCATAGAAATTTATTAGTCATAAAGAGAGACCCCATCCCCATGTGTACAAAAAGAGTGAAATCCATGATCCCCGATGATCGATCGACCGCAAGTAAACAGGTAGTATTAATTTGTTGCTGCGAATCCTGTGCCTAATACGTGTTCATAGTGTGGCCTCACCCCTTCTTCACAACGTATTCCAAAATCCGTATACACCAAGTGTGAAGCCACCAAGCAAGCGAGTTTCCCACGCTTTATCTATCACATTGCTTCAGTTTCAGTTCAGTTTCCCTTTTATTATTTATTAAACCCCTCAATCCAGAAAAAATATCCTTTGCTTTCAGTTTTCATTCCAACTCACTCTCTCTCCTCTCTAACCCTTAATCATTACCAACCAACACATACCACAGCCACTTTCATCAATTTCCTTAATACCACATAACATCAACAACCAACGAACAAGTTGAGTCTATGTGCTTGCCTACAACAACAACAACAACTACTGCTACTACTACTACTAATTCTACATGGATGGCAACCCTTTTGGAAACGTGCCACTGCCACCCCCACCAATACAAGTCCCTGATAGATTCCCTCTCTCTTCCTCCTCTTCGCCGACCCCAACCACGTCCTCTCCGTCTCCCACTCCTTCCGCCGGGGTCCGCTACCGGGGGACGCGGTGCCGGAGCGGAAAGTGGGTGTCGGAGATAAGGGAGCCACGTAAAACGAAGCGCATTTGGCTGGGGACTTACCCGACAGCGGAAATGGCTGCGGCGGCTTATGATGTCGCGGCTCTCGCGTTGAAGGGACCCGACACGACCCTTAACTTCCCCAATTCCATACTCTCGTACCCGATTCCCGCGTCATTGTCCGCCACCGATATTCGTGCGGCGGCTGCGGCCGCGGCGCAGGCTAGGATCGTGAGGGCGCCGCAGGAGAGTGGGGAAACGGTAAACCCTGATAGTGGACAGGAGTTGGAGAGGCGTGAGGAGTACTATGATGAGGATGAGTTGTTGAACATGCCGAATTTGCTTGATGACATGGCCAGGGGAATGCAGGTTAGTCCCCCTAGGATCAGTTCCTTTTCTTCTGATGATTCGCCAGGCAATTCTGATGGAGATAACCTTTGGAGTTATACCCTCTGATCACTGATTTCTTGTCTGAGTAAAGTAATTTGTTTTGTGTTTGTTTTAGTTTGTGAGACCACGGATCAACCTACGCAGAGTTGTTCCAGATTACAAGTAGTGTTATTAGTTTCAGTCTTGAGTAAATTGAATACTCAAGACGAGGGCTTTGACAGGATTATGAGGATATTTATGGTCTTCTACAAAAGAAAAATCTTTGAGTATGTGTGGGTGTTTGTGTCTGAGTCTGTGGTTGGTTTGTCCTTTTTGTTGGTTGAAGCTGATTTCCGGTGTGAAGGCTGCTGCTGGGAAGGTTGCGTTGAGTTATATATGGAATGGGATAAGGTCAAGGAATGAGATAAGATTACTTTCATCATCGCTGGCTTTGGTGAGAGATGACACCGGTTTTAGGGAATGGTTTATGTGATCCGTTGTGTTTTTAGATCCGTAGTTCCGTAGTTCCGTACGGTCTAATCAATTGGGGGAACCTAACTAGAAGGATTCTACTTTTGATCATGGGTCTTTCTTTCTCCCTATTAATACATAGGCGTGTGGGGTTGGTTGCCCTTCTGGGGTACTTTTGCGGCAGATTTGTATTGAATGAATAAAAACTATTTCTGGCAGTTCGTTTGTTGCTAAGATGGTGCTGGCAGTGTGTAGAAGTTTCTGATCTTTCGTTTGAATGTATCTAAACTCTTCTGGAGAACAATATATACCACATGACAAATAGCTATTCTCTTATGCTATGTATATCTGGAGCCAAAAGTTACATTGCATACAATGTTTCTGGTTAACATAACTTTCTTCATATTAAATCATAAACTGTAGCATCAACAACATTTAAACATAAGAGTTGCTTTGTTAACGAGACAAATGTAAGGGTTTTGATACAATTGTCCTTTGAAACAAAAGTTAATAAGTTTTGACACACTAGGGAGAGATACATTCAGAAAGAGTTTTAGCACAGTTATTCTTTGAATCAATAGTTTGAACACATCAAAGAGAGAGTTCTTCGTTACAATTGCAAAACCCTTAAAATTTTCGAGGGTATTAAAGAATGTATGTATAAATAGAAATTAGGAAATGATTAATTACATAGTAACATGTCTCTCTTTCATGTTCTCCAATTAGATGAGAAGAATAAATTATTGTCCTCTTTTTCATTCAGTAGAGGGTCATCAAGAAAGCTTTTCTTGGCTTTAAATATCGAAACTTCTGGAGGTTCTTTCAGGTGTGTTTTGGTGGAACAACATATTTTAGAACTCTTGATATCCATCATGTTCATGTCGGCAGCCTGATATATTTATAGTGTATGACCATTATATATACATGAATAAATGATTCTGAGTTCACCAAAACCTTGACCAGTGACCAGCAAATTATAAGAAAAAGAACTGTGATTCATCAACAACGGTTGACAAAATGGCTCCTTTTCATTTGGTTATGTTATGGATGTCCTATCATATCATGTGCACAACTAGACGGGTTTTTTCTTGAATTAGAGCAAGGTTTATAAATGCTGTTGAAATTGGAACATGGATCAAGATAGAACGCTGTGGTCTATGATGGACATTTACCTTTTGGAGGCCTTCCGTTGTCAATCTTTGCCGACATGATGCAAAGTTTGTGCCGACGGTTATGACAGAATGTTGATATATTGATGATCTGACCAAGGCGCCTCTATTTGAACAGTGACTTCTTTTCCTTTGCAAGTTTCATATTAACCAATTCAAATCTTTGATACTAGGATATAGTATTTTAATTTGTCTTATTATCGTAAAAAAAAAAAAAACATTGAATGGACGAAATGTCAGTACAAAATTCACAAGGTTAAAACAATGTTTCAGTGTGACAAGAAAACGTCCACCCCGTGATATGATATCAGAGTACTTTGTTTATCAGTTTTGTAGACTATTAACCAATGAAAATCATATAATTTTACCTTGAAGAAGGTTGATCTTAATTATATGCTAGTGTTTAAGAAGATTAATTAATTTGGTTTACTATATTTCTTATTTTCCTCTACATAATGCTCTATATCTTATTTGATGACAATATACTTGGAGAATGCTAGTTTTGGATTTATAATTAAGAAATTTGTGTGTCTAGGAAATTTGAAGAATTGAGATGTATAAATGATGATTGATTATGCACAAGACATCTAGGAAAAAAAAGAAGAAGAAGAGAGTATTAGGTCATAAACATGGCCACTCATTATAATGTGGCTCATGCTCTAGCTTCTACAAGAAAAAAACTAGTTTATAATTAAATTTTCTTTTTTGTCCGAAGAGAGTATACTTCATTCACATTATGAGAAACCTTGTACAGAGACAGTAGGATGAAAAACTCATTCTCCATTATGCTTAACATTAACTGTAAAGTTTACTCAAAATAGATTGATAGTATGAATATTATTTTTTCATAAATTGCTGTAATTAAAGTCTTAGCACTTGACAAGGAGGGGGTGTAGAACTTTACTTTTTTATTTAAAAAAATATAATAAAAATGAAATTTAAATGCAGTTGAAAGATTCACTGAAAAGGATGAATAGGTTTGTTATTTTAATTTGTCATATAATCAGTCTTTTGATTGTGAACATTCGTGTTTTGTTTTGATATGCGCAGAAGGTCTAACCCGTTGAACCTTGCTGAAGCCATTAACGGAAAGTTGGAAGGTGATAGACATGAGGCATTCTCTCTCTATCACCAATTTTTTTTCCAAACAACTCCCCCACTGCGTGCTCAAGTTCTTTTACAGTCAATATTGCGACACATCCGGAGTAGTTTCAAGTTTCCTAACTCGTGTGCATTAATTTATTGAGTTGTTTTGGCAAAATGTATGGTTTGTTTGGGTTGATGTTGCATAATTTACCAATTGGTTTTATATTAAACTTGATTTTATGTTATAACGTTTCATGATTTGAAAGCAGAAAATACAATACAACTAATTATAACAACGGGTTTGAAATTTAATTTAGTGGAATTAATGACACATCCAATGAGTGCAAACGGGTCTAATTATTGTGCCTCAACATGTCTCATAAGTAGACAAACAATTAATTTTATCCCCAAAATTATGATTTTGATAGATAGTATTTTGTTGTTATGTGGTGAAAAAAGTAGTTACTTGGTCATTCAACTAATGTCTTCCTAATTTCATATCATAATATTACTTTTTAATATTTACTTATCTTTTTAATAATTGCACATCTTAAAGTAATTTTCAACATATTCAAACCTTACTTTCATTAAAATTAATTCACTTCAAACTTGTTTTTAAATGAAATTAATTCAACAAAGTTAAAATCATTGAAAATCTTGCATCTGAACAAACTCTACCTTGTAGTTTTGGAGGTTACTCAGAGAGTGTGTGGGTGTCTGAGAGATAGAGAGAGGATGAATATGAATCTGTAAGGATTCTAGAGACAACTATATATATATTCCAGATCTTTTTCATTTTTTCCCTAAAGCTACTAATTAACGGGTTGTAATTCGTATTGGGTTTAGATTAGCCACTTGAAAGAGTATCAGAAATAATGGGGTCAAGTGGGGATGAATTGGAATTATTCTGCTATCGAGAATTTTGCGAGATTCTAATGTTTATCTGTCCCATATGCTCTTTTCCCTTTTTATTTTATATAAAGCTCGGGTTAATTCAATGAATACAGTAGATATTATAGGATTTTCGTTGACTTAAATTAATTGACCTAAACGTGTTTAATAAATTATTAATATATCAATAGTTGCAATACTTAATCATCATGAATTTATAACGTGTTTAATAATTATTTACTATGTACTTAAGTACTCGAAAATTATATGCAACTACCTCTTAATTAAAGGTATTCACAAGTACCACTAAACAAGATATGCTTGCTCCCTAATTATGTCAATAAGAATAAGCCTTGGAGATATTCTTGTCGATTGGTGAAAATATTTATTACTTAAAATTCTTAAGTAATTATATATATATATATATATATATATATATATATATATATATATATATATATATATATATATTAGAAAATAACTTATTAAAAGGTTGAGAAAAAAATAAAAATTCATTAGAACTAATTCTATTTTAAAATTTCAGTTTACTCTCTTTGTATTTATTTATTTCAATTTCTTGATATAAAATTTGCATTTTTCATAGGATGTGTGGTGAGTATGTACATCCCTAATATTCGGTGTCGGATATTGATTATTGACTCTGACAAATAAATAATATAAAAAATAATAAATAAATATAAAAGAAGATGAAAGAATAAGATGATAAAATTATAAATATACATCTTGACAAATAAATAATATAAAAAATAATAAATAAATATAAAAGAAGATGAAAGAATAAGATGATAAAATTATAAATATACAAGTGAATATATAAATGATGATTAAATTTAGAAGATAAAATCATAAATTATACATGAGAATTATAAAACAAAAGAAATTGAAACAAATGTACGTATGGGTTTTGTCAAGTCACCTACTCTTGTAAAACCTGTTTGAATAATGATGGTCTCGGTTCTCTTTATGAGTCACCTTGTTACATTTCATAAGTTCATTTATGTTCATATAAATCATAAAAAACACTTGAAAAAAATAAAAAAGAAACAACTGATATTAAATTATTCAAAATAGCTTTTGGTTTTAATAAGCTTTTAATTTAGTTTTGAATTGTTCATAAAATCTAAAACAGGCACGTAAAGGAACTAAAAAAAATGAGATACATACGTAGCATAATTAATTATTTTATTCGTATTGTTTTATTATTTAATTGAAAGCAAAAAAAAAAAATGCATTGAAAAGAAAAAGAGTGGATGAGATGAGTGAATAGAGCAGAGGAGAGTGGTTTTAAGAAATAGAAAGAATTATTGGAAGTTGATTAGATGTTGGACCGACCTGATAATGGAGGTGAAGAAAAGTTGTAGGTAAGGACTCAGCTATCTCTACATTTGGTTCGCTGAACCCAGACTACCCCCACCACCACCACTTAACACAACCTCCAATAATAATAACTCTTCTTCTTTATACAACAATAATAATATTACTAACTCTTCTTCAACCCTAGGTTACTCATTCTTCTTAAGGATGAACACTCGTATACACGTGATGATCATGGATAGTTATAACATTGTGTTCTGTATCACTCTATTAGTTAGAGTCACCATTTCGCCAGGACAATTCAAATTTCCTTGATTTTTTTAGTAAATAATGACAAAACATGACCTAAATTGATATAAAGCTTCCAAATTCCACGTAGTTCACCATACAGTTCCCATTATGGTAAGAGAGTTTCTATGACACTTTCATAATAGTAGCCTTTTACAAACTTTTTCTTTCTTTATTCTTTTCGGGGAAGAATCTTTACAAACATCTCGAACTTATGATACATATGAATAGTCAATATCACACTATATAATATCATCAAAACAGACTACATTCAGTTGAACATTGTTTTGATTGTAACTTTACAACGGCAGAAAGATTGTATTGTATATCCTAGATATTTGATGGAAAGGGATGGAAAAAGAAAAAGGACAATTTTTGTTTCTTTGAGAATGATATTGATATATATGGATAAATGATAGTTGAGTATTATTGATTTCTGAAGAACTTGATTAAACATTAAGTTTGTGTGTGTAAAAGTAATTATATTAAGTTGATGTATAGTGTGGATTGTGTCGTCCCTTTCAGATGTGTGAATTAACAGAAAAGATTAGTAAGAGAAGGTGGTTGGAGTTAGGGTAGGGTTTGCAGAAAATGAGTGGTGTTAGTGAAAAGAGGCCCACTGACATATTTTGCTTTATTTGCTTGATGGTCATTGACATGGTGGTAGTTTTTTGGTTTTGGGGATAATCTAAATGAGTAAGATTCGGTCTTAGCATCCCATATTCTCCTTAAGGAAAAAAGCCGCAATTTAATGGTCTGCCTGGGCCCTATTCTGCACTCTTCCACCCGTCACTGTCACAACACCTTTTCCTTCCCAGTTTTAAGTTCTGTTCACATTTTTAGCTCATCTTATCAACAGAAACATCCGTCTCAAAATTATTCTATTACTTTTTTAAATTGTAACAAATTCAACAGAATCAAATTAGAAAATTATCAAAGCCAAATCCATGAATTTTTTAACTTTTTAAATTAACATATTTTAATTTTTTTAAGAGTAAATTATTATTCATTTTCTTTTCACATAAATTACGTCAAATTTATATTTTTAAGTTTTTTTATCCTTTTTATTTTATTTCTTTACTCTTTATTATATTTTATAATTTATCTTATAACTTTTAATAATGATGATAATAATAATAATAATCTCTAACATAATTGTAATTTTTTTTAACACATTTCTAATTATTAATAAATTTATTTTATATTTAATATATTATTATTATTATTATGAATAATGTAAACAAATAATATTATATTAAATTTTATCTAACTTTAATTTAATTATGATGAAATTTTTAAACCTATATTCATGTATTTGTCACTTTATTGACAAATCTAATTTTAAGAATGTAGGCTTTAATTCATTCTATTATAATTTTAATTACAAATACTTAAAAGTTAATTTTATTTATTAATTATAATAAAATAAATTAACCTTTAAAAGTAACAATATTCCTAATTAATTAAATAAAAAATTAAATATTGACCAATCCATTTTTACAACTAGAATCTGTACATATCAACACCAACCAAACATATTCAAACTAGCTAGCATTATTGATCACATCATTACAACCTCTCTCTTTCTCAACTCAAGAACCCTAATTTTTTTTTGTTTTTACCATCTGATTTAGTATGAGTTTTCGACAGATTTACAATTATCACGACAAGACATTCCTCGAATATCGTTGTGTGTTTGCCAATAACCAATATAATAAAGTCCTCAAACATAAAAGCTTTTCAAGTTAGATTATCTTATTAAGAATATATTTATTTATATTTATCTATTATTTTTTAAGTTTTAAATGGAATACATTATTTTGTAGCAGATGTTACTTTACTGTTTACTAAAGTGATAAGATCAACAAAACTTATATTTTTTTTAATTGTTAACCGACAAAAAAATAATAAAAAAGAGAGTAAAAGAGAAAGAAACAAGAGAGACAAACAAATAAAAGGTGGAAAGGTATACTAAGAAAAATGAATAAAAAAACTCTATGGTACTTAGGAGAATAAAAATAAATAAATAAATAAATAAACTTATATATAATCCTCTAGAAAAAAAATTGGTGGTTAAAAAAAAATAAAGCTTATTAATTTTATAATACTCTTTTAAATTCATAATATATCAAGAATTTCCCATTTAATTTTTTTTTTCTCATCTCTGAATCTTCTTAACTTGCCAAATAAATTACCTGTTTTATTTCTGTTCTGTCTATCTGCTTTATTTCTTTTTACCCCGTTTAATAATCTATCAACACAAGAATGATTTAAAACGTCAGTTTTTGGAAGAAACAGTGGTGTTTATTAAAAGTAAAGCTAACAATTTGAAATAAACAACCAAACGTTATCTCGTACTTTGGAAAGTCAAATGGTAATCTTCCATTAATGGAACTGAAGAGACACGACTAGAAGCTGCATGGACCCAAATTCATTATAATAATGGGAAAAAATATAATCAATTGTGTTTTTTATGGCCCACTAAGAAAACATCAACGTAAAATATTGTGGGAGCCCATTGGGATGGGCTTGCTTTGGATTAGGAAAGTGAAGACAAATCCACGTAATCTACGCGTTTCCGCGGAAACGGAAATTAATGCCACCCATTCTGTCACTCTCATTTACTCACTCTTTATTTTATTTTATTTTTTACTGTTCCTCACTCTTTTTAGAATAAAAAACCCTACTAATTAAGAGAATATACACGTAATTATTACACTACTTGTTTATTAATACCACTGTTTATGGGCTTGTAAATCAAGATTGGCTCATACAATAAGTAATTAAATATCTTATAAATATCGCCTGATCAATCTTTTCCACACGTTGAATTAGTTTTTATGAGATTATTTCATCACCAGTATCATATTATTTCTTGAATTTAAAACATACGTGTATATTCTTTAATCAATTTACTTCAAATAAAGTAGAATAATTATAATATATGAATTAAAACAGTTAATCACTTTATTTAAATTTTTGTATGATTTATTAATATATCTCTTATTTGTTACATTAGCATTTCATAGACCATCGGTTCTCTATTGTTTTACTGAGTAATATTGGTCAAATGTTATTAATAATATAATATATTATATAGTATTATTATTATTATTATTATTATTATTATTATTATTATTATTATATAATAGTAATGGAAAATGAAAGACGGTTATTAACTGTCAACCGTGTTTTGGACGCGTTGGGTTGTCATCCAGAAACCAAACAGAGGTCATTAGTCAAACAAACGTTAGAAGGTCATTCACTTCTCTTCTTTTACTAGTCTCTATCACATTTTCAATTACCTTTTTATTTTTTTCTTATACCTCAAAATCTTTTATTCATTTTTTGTTTCAACTTCCACCCCAGTCAATTCATCTCTATTTTCCCAATCTTTGGGCCTGAATTTGGGCCATTCGTACAATTTAATGCAGGATTCAGAATCTAAAAATTAAATATTGAAATTAGCTTTCTAATTACTTACATATATTAAAAATAGTAAATTTAATTTGACTATTATATTTTGAATAAAATATTTTATTATAAGAACCCAGAAATTAGTTAAGGCATAATTAAAACTATATTTTATTAATAATTGAAAAAAATAATTAATAATGTATGAAAATAAAAAAAAAAATTGTATGAAAAATATATTTTATTATTTAAATAAAAACTCTTGTGCAAGTAATTGAAAAGGAAAAAAAGAAGAACTTACATGCATGTAGTAGTAAGGTAGGGTTTCACTGTTTTTATACATGTGGTAATGAAGTTTATGAATGAGCTGTGCATGATTCAAATAGAACCTCCCTAAGCAAATGCAGGGTGTGAAGACGATGTGATGGAAGAAATAAATAAATAAAAGAATTGTTACCGTATTGAGTAAAAGGGTGAACGAGCATGAGTTGTCTCCTGCTAGGCTGCTACATAACAACACTTGCCACCTTGACGTCACATAAAAGGCCCATAACATAACCAAAACCCCTGAATCCAGAAGGAATCTAAGCCCAACCCTTTGACCATGAAGAATACAGATTCAATACACTCACACTCACTCCCTCTCCCTCTCCCTCACTCTGCTTCTCTACACCTTCCCCTTTCCCTTTCAGTCAAACCACCCTTATCCAATTTCAATATCTAAAAACAAACACCCACAGAGGAAACAAAAAGAACAAGTCACACGTGTCAAACACACACATCCCGACAAGCTTATTCCCACCCATGCGCCACTTTCAATTCCTTAACTTGGTCCATTCCGTGGGAGGAAAAAAAACTGCCACGCCTTCAATCAGATTTCGCTAAACATAACTCAAACTTAGCTGGACAAACAGTGTGGACACTTTCCTTGAAACACAATCTCACCCTCTCCACTTTATATATAACCCAATAACAAAACACAACCACAAAAACTAAACAATAACGTTAGTTACTGGAGTAACTGATATAACTACCCCTTTTGCACACGTTGTCTCATTCACTCAAGCAACTTCAAAGAACGAAACTTTTCGCCAGGTGCATGTTTTCCGTCGACCCACAAACAACCTCGCCGGTGTCGGGAAGTTCCCGACCGGCGCTCTCGGACGAGGAGGTGTTCTTGGCGGCGAGCCACCCCAAGAAACGCGCCGGGAGGAAGAAGTTCCGGGAGACGCGTCACCCGGTGTACCGCGGCATCAGGAAGAGGGACTCCGGCAAGTGGGTGTGCGAGGTGAGGGAGCCCAACAAGAAGACCAGAATTTGGCTGGGGACCTTTCTCACGGCGGAGATGGCGGCGCGTGCGCACGACGTGGCGGCTCTCGCGCTTAGGGGAAGATCGGCCTGCCTCAATTTCGCTGACTCCGCGAGGAGGTTGCGGGTTCCAGCGACGACGGACCCCCGGGATATTCAGAAGGCGGCGGCGGAGGCCGCAGAGGCATTTGGACCAGGGAATGAATCGGGAAAGAATGATGATGCGGTTGCGGAGACGGTAGCGACGGCGACGGGGCATGAAGAAGAAGAAGCACAAGAACAAGAAGGGAGGGTGCCGGAGTATCTGAGGAACATGGTACTGATGTCGCCAACGCGCTGCTTCGAGAGTGATGAGTATGGAAGTGCCGACGTGGAATTTGACGATGCTGAAGTTTCCTTGTGGAGTTATTCGTTTTAATTTTTAACTCAATTATTTACAATTTTTTTACTATTTTGGGAAAGGAAATTATTGTTAGTGTGGGACAAGCATTAGAGTTCCGTACTTACAATTTTTTACTAGTACGGGTGCTCATTTTAGTGTCCAAACTCCAAAATACTATTAGATTAGTTGAACCATAAAAAAATCAACACTTATGTGGATAAGTTGACCCAAATTTTTTCCAATATACTAAGAATAAAATAATAGATTTTTATAAGATTTTTTATTGTGTATTTTGGAATGAAGAGTTGTACTTATTTAATGCTTACTTCTATATATATACAGAGAGAATAGATCAGTTTCCGATTTATTTGATTATTTAACGTCTTTGAATGGTTAAAATGCAGACATATAAACTAGGTGTTCATTTCATTTGTTGAAGCATGTTTTCAAATGCTACTTTAATAAAATGTATATATATATATATATATATATATATATATATATATATATATATATATATATATATATATATATTAAACAATGTTTCATGTAACATTTGGGTTTTAAAGCTTTTAACTTATGCTTTATCTCTTTTAATCTTCACTCTATTATTTGCAAATTCTTATTATTTCCTTTACATTATAAAATCCCAAAAGTATGCGTATTCAATTTTCATATAAAATATCATTTATTTATAATATAACATTAACAAAATCATATATTTTTTGTTAAAAACGAAACTATATATATCTATATATATAACTCAATTTAGTTTATCTAATTTTATTTAAAAATGTGAATAAACGTTTAAAACTTGTTAGCCTATTGTTTACAAATTAATTAAACATTTGCTTTGATGTAAATATATATAATCAAATCAGGGAACAAAGAATATCAACATCGATCACCAATACAATACATGTTTGAATTTCAATTGATAAACTAAAAAGTAATTTTCCTTCCATAAAAAACTAATTTTTCAACTTCATTCTATGTTTTACACATTAACAAGAATACTTCTTCATTGTTTTCCTTCTTGTGGAAGGATAGGACATTATACGACACTAACTTCATCGGTGTAGTATTGTAATGAATCTTTTTTTAACAAAAGTTACCATTGTAACAAGTTTCCTAACCCACAAATGTCCGAGTGCTTTGTCCATCAAAACAAAAATTTACAAAATCCCGTAGCACAAGAAAACAAAATTTGTATTAATATAGCAAAATAAATATTTAGTAACAGTCTATAGTTTGGCCCAAAAAATACTAAGGTCGAACTGTAACTGAAGATCATGATGAAGATATAAGCATTTAATCAGAAAAGAAAACTAAGATTGATCAATCAAGTTCATACTTTGAAGCTAGAGACTCAGACCAGCCGTTTCCTCAAGCAATAAACGCTCCTTTAGAGAATCTAGCTTCTCCTGGTTCTTTGCTCGAATATTTGGCAAAACCTTCTCTTCATAACTTGGAGCATTCATCATCTTCTCTAGTCTTTCTATTTGCCTGCATAGAAAGAGACACCAGCCAATTGAAAGCCGTTAAGAAAAAGGAGAAAAAAGGTTTGGATTTTAACAAAATGAAATCATGCGTATTGTTGAAGTTTTAAGCAATATTATTCATGATGAATTCCCTTTCTTTTAATAATTTCCTTCATTGAATGCTTTGGTCTCCTTCTACCCCCCCTTTTCATTGATACCTTAAGACTGATGTTGAAAAGTATTCTAAAAAAGTGTAGGAGATAAAATATACTTCTTCAGTTCATCTATCTTCTTGATCTTCCCTTGCTCTGCCTCTGCAGAATTAGTTCCTTGAAACTCTAAATAAACAGAAATGCTTTCATTTACAACAGCTTCAGCATATCCAGATGGAATAGCATCAGTTTCAGCAATTACCTGTGAATCATATAATCATCATTAAAGGTGAAAAAATGCCAATCAAGTGAATTGAAAATGGGTTCTATGATTAATGACAAAATAGAGAAACAAATACAGGGGGGGATGCATGAGAAGAGAACACAAAAAAGCAAAATGTGAAACTTACTGTCAGAGAGGATAGATTAGCTAATGTTACAATCTCCAGTTGATGGCTCTTAATAATCTCAGTAACCACCTGTGTTCGGCAGAGAGCAAAAGCCGGTCGCCTAGCAACATATGCATGAGTTTTAGAATTGGCAAAGCATGTTATATAGATTGAATAACAATTTTCAGTTGAGAAGTTAAGGAAGAGTTTAACTGCCTTTTATTCCCTGTTTTCATGTTGTAGTTTTACTTTTTAATGACAAAAAAGTCACATTGTTTTTCAATTTGTTTCCTATTTTCAAGGAGTTGTCACGGGACAGATTTTTTTGTTTCTGTACAAATATTTAGAAAGTAGACAGAAAAAAACACGATGGTATTTCTGTAATAAAAAAAAAAAAAAGTGCAAATAAACACTCTTTAATTAACAGAAATAAATAAAAGTATTAGAGCAATTTCTTATTCTCATTTATGCAACTCTTATTTTACTTGGCAATTTTCTGATTTACCACCCCAAAAAGAGAGGTTCCAGATATATTTAGAGAAAACAGCAGAAAACCTGAAGCTTTACACAAGCAAATGTTGCTTCCACATACCTGTCACGTCTTTCTTTTGCCAGTGACCTGAGAGACTTAATAGTAGACTCAATAATATCCATCTGATTCTCCACCGCTTCATTATTCCATCCCTGGTGTAAAGAACAAAAACAAAAATCGTATTACTGAATAGCCAAAGTATGTTAAATACAGTACAGCATATATCATAAAAACATAGGAAGAACTGTAAGCTTAGTCGTAGTTGAAACTTCAATTTCAACAGACAAAGGGGCTGAATATAATAATAATTATGAAGACCAAAACTAACCTCTACTGTTGATGGATAATCGCATATCATGATAGATTCTGCTCTCTTACATTCCCTGGGTGAAGGAAGGCGTTGCCACAGTTCTTCCGTGACAAAAGGCATAAACGGATGAAGCAATCGAAGGCCATTGTCCAGACAAAACCACAAAGTATCTTGTGCAAAGCGTCTTTCGGTAGCAAACTTAGGATCATTACCAGTAAAGTAAGGCTTAATCACTTCGATAAATACATCACATAATTGATACTGCCACCAAGAAAACACAGCAGTTGTAGCTTGTGAGAATTCAAATGATTCTAGAGACTTCACTGTTTTTGTTATGGTTTTATTCAACACTGAGAGTATCCACTGGCAGCTAAATGGAAGCACGTCTGGATTCAATTCTGCAGGTGGAATATAATCATCCCCAAGCTTGCTCATAGCAAATCGTACTGCATTCCACATTTTATTACACCATTGGCGATACCCAACCACCCTCTGAATATCTAGGTTAATTTTGTCAGACTGAAATGGATGAAAACACAATTAAATCAAAAAATTTGAATAGATTGGTGAAAAAATAGCCATACAATAACATGGGTAGGCCAATGCACCTGAGCTGTGTATGAAACCAATGTAAAACGGAGAGCATCAGCACCACATTCATCAATACCATTTGGAAAGTCCTTCTTTTGACCCTCTATAGCAGTGGCTAGTTCTTTGGGGTCCAAGTTACCGGCCTCTAACCTCTTATGTAGACCTTCCAGTGATATCCCATTTATCACTTCAATGGGATCAATAACATTTCCTAAGGACTTGGACATCTTGCGTCCATGTGCATCACGAACCATGGGATGCATATAGATCTGCATAAGATTGTAAATACGTCAATGAGAGGGTCATTGATCAAAATTTGTAAGGTATACATCGTGTTTGGTTAGCTTTCTGCAATTATGGTTTAACTGTCTTCACGAATTTCTTTTTTCAAAAAACAAGAAAAAGAAAAACCTCAGGCATGCATGACCAAAACCAGAGCAACAAGCATACTTTACTACCCACAAAAAATTAATAAACTTCCTCAAAATGATCTGAACGAGATAGTGACCTCACCTTTGAAAAAGGCACATCACCACCCAACTTCAATCCTAACATCACCATTCGGGCAACCCAGAAAAAGAGGATATCATGGCCAGTTTCCAGAACAGAAGTTGGATAGAATGTCTTCAGGTCCTCAGTGTCATCAGGCCATCCCAGCACAGATAATGGGAAAAGACCAGAAGAAAACCATGTATCAAGAACATCAGGATCCTGGCTTAAATGAAACTTCTTTCCATTATACCTCTGGCTAGCTTCTTTTTGGGCTTCCTCTTCATTTCTTGCCACTAGCCAATGATCAGTATAAGCACCAAATTCCCGCAGCATATCATCCTCCAAAGTGACATACCATGCAGGTATTTGGTGACCCCACCATAGCTGTCGTGAAATGCACCAATCACAAATGTTTTCTAGCCATCTGTAAAACATTTTACCTTGAGATTGACATGATTATATCATACAGTTATAAGAACAATAAAGGTACGTGAGAAGAAAAATATATATAGAGAAAGTTCCAACCAGAACATTGAGCCATAAATGTAATTTAATCTAATTCTAACCACTTATTCCATTTACAATATCAAATCCTCCAACAATTTGCCTCTTGTTTTTTGCTATACTTGCTTTAGTTTAAATTATAGGAATCGGATAGAAAAGTAGGAAAAGAGATACTTCAATAATGTTGATAAATGGGGTTGTAATCATGTGTTACAAAATACTACTCACATTCTTAATTAATACTAAAACTAGACTCTTAAGCCTTATTTTAAATGAGAAAACAACCAAAGATACTCAAAAAACAGTGTTAGATACAATAATGACAGATATTGTCTACATATTCAAACAGGAAAACCGTGAGACATTGAATTGAGTCGATTATATTTCACTACTAAAAATTCTCATATGTCATGAGAATATTTTTACAAATTTATTATAAAAATTGCAAGAAATAAGTTTCCTACAAATTTAAATAAATTTTTACAAAACATTTGCAGAAAATAACTAATATTTAGTATAACCTCTTCCAATCAGCCAAATATTGTTTTGGAACAATCTCTAGCTTTTTGTTTTCCTCATCCAAAGCAGCATTAAGAGCTTGCTTGGCCAAATCATTGCAATTGACGTACCACTGGGGCTTTATCATGGGCTCCACAACATCATTGCTTCTTGAACAAACCCCAAGGCGCATTTCATTGTTTTCAGATCCTCGATAAAGACCCTACATAAGAATAAAACAAATGAAACAAGAAATAGTCAAAACCATGTGTTTCATCAGACATAATTTATTACCAAGATAGAGATAATTACTAGTACAAGATACTGCCACTTGCAGGAATTTATAAATTAATGATAGCAAAAAGATCATATGCAACAAAAAATTATGCAAAATAGAATCTTTCCTTCCATCAACAGAGAAGCAATCATTAGTCAGGTCCCACAAAAATACAAGTGTACTTTCCAACAATTATTTTCACCTAACTTTTGTTATTTCTCATGAATCAAAAATAGTATAACAATACCTTCTTCCGTAATGCTTCTGTTACTGCCTCTCGAGCTTTGAACCGTGGCATGCCCAAAAAATCAGGCCCACCATTGGAATTTATTTCACCATCATCTGTGAAAACATTAATGAATTCAAGGTTGTGACGTTTTCCTACCTCAAAATCATTTGGATCATGGGCAGGTGTAATCTGCAATCAACAAAGAAAATAATGTGTATAATATCAATTGAAAAAGAACTTAAATACAACTTTTAGTCATTCATATTGAGAATAATACCTTAACAGCACCAGTTCCGAACTTTGGATCAACAAGAATAGCATCACAAATTATAGGAAGTTTTCTTTCATTAAATGGATGAATAGCATATTTTCCTTGAAAATGGCTATATCTGTCATCATTAGGATGTATGGCAATGGCAGTGTCGCCAAGCATAGTTTCAATTCTAGTCGTGGCAACAACAATTTCACCTAGGTTCCCTTCCAAAGGGTATGCAAACTTTGTTAAAACTCCAAACTCCACTGGTTTATCATATCCTGGAACCTTTAGTAGACTCTTCTCTTTTATGTCAATATAATCCACCTGCATGCATCAAGTAACAACATTACATACACAATACTGATACATCAGATGAAACAACCTATATCAATTGCGTACCTCAATATCAGATATTGCAGTTCGTAAAACACAATCCCAATTCACCAAACGGAGGTCCCTGTGACATTGTATACAGAATCTCATCAGCACATTTTAATTTAACTTGATTCACCATGTAACATTTTATTTTAATTGATGTATCTTTGTATTTAAAATCCAACAAACATCAAAGAATATAACAACACATCTTTTGTCCCAAATGAACAGCAATGCAGTATCATAATTAAAATTATGATTCAATAGAAATTTCAAAGTCAATATGTATGCAAGATCACGAGATATAGTTGGTATGTGAAGAGGATTCCAGCACATCATGTTACCAAAATAAGTCTTTTGGAACACTTGATTCATGTTTTCAGTTAAGATCCAAACATGTGTCAGGTAGTTTATGTAAACAAATTCTGCCATTCAAAACGTGTTTGTGTGTTATTGAGGAACATCACAAAGTAAACTATATACAAGGAATAATCTTACAAGTTACAACTAAACTTGCCATGTATAACTGTTAGTTAATAATTACCAGGCAACCTATATTTTTCCAAATTCCAAAAGCTTTTCATCTTCATACAATCAATGATCTCTATCAACTGTTGTTGAGAACAAACTTAAAAATTGAAGTCAGCATTGATGAAAAAACGTACAATTCAGTAGTTATGAATAAAATTGGTGCACAAGACAAAACATATTGCAAATTCCAACCTACCTATAGATAAGACCTTGCTTGTAAAGCCTTACAAAAGCCTCTGTCACAGCCTTACATCTTCTTTCATCCATTGTAAAGCACTGGAACAGAAAGTGAGTCACAGATAAATACAAAAGTCATAGTAGGAGATGGCAAAATAAGCATCTGAATTGGACAAGCTTTGTTAAAGTTGTCTAGATTATGTTTCGTGTTTTATGCTCATGGATTTTATAAGTGTACTTCTATGTTGAACTAAACACAAAACAGGTTACATAATTACCTCACGAGACCAATCCAAAGAGGCTCCTAATCGGCGTAATTGTTGTAATATCGTGCCACCATACTTGTGTTTCCACTCCCAAACCTATTTTTCCAGTATTTCACCAAAGTAGGTGTCAATTGTGGAATGAACAAATAAAAAGTAGCAAATTATCAAGAACCTTGACTTCAACAAGTATTCTATTAGCTTACCTCAGAGACAAATTTCTCACGGCCCAGGTCATGCCTGGTTAGTTTTCTTTCCCGCATTATCTTTTTCTCCACAACTACCTGTGTCATAATTGACATTTGTTAATTTCATCTCATACAAGCTATGCTAATAACAGAAAATGTGGACATATGATATATCAATAAAAATAATACATAGGACATTAGCAACATAACTAAATATTGATATAGGCTAATATTGCCATTTAAAGCCAGTGATGATATTGATACAATTGTCTTTGTCACACAAATTTTAGGGGTAAAATTGTCCAAATTGTTAAATGCTACCTTTCAGACCTTAATTGTGTAGCAACACAACTCCAATTTGTTTCTAGCCGCAAATTTGGGATTGAAAGATAAAAATATGTCTTTGCCTCTCACAATTAAAAAATTTACAAAAATCCCAGTGAACAAAAGCTATGTAAATTATAGCATGGAATAAAATGTGTAAAGGCAGTTGAACAAATAGTTTTTGATAGAAATAATTAAATTTTGAGTCCATATGCAAAATAACTATTTCTTTTTATGATTCCAAGCTACAATTTAAATAGCTTTTGTCCAACGCCCAACCACAGCATTCACAACAAATGATAATTTATAAAACAATTGTGGACAATGGACTACATGAAATCTTCATAGTTTAGACGCAACCTGCGTAGCAATCCCAGCATGATCCATCCCAGGCACCCACAAGGCATTGTATCCAGACATTCTCCTCCACCGAATCATTGTGTCCTGAAAGCAATAAACCACATTGAGATTAACAGTTTAAACCAGCTAAACTACACAGTTAAAATGGGGAATATAAGGTACCTCTATTGCGGCAGTTAGAGCATGACCTATATGGAGAGCACCAGTCACATTTGGAGGGGGCAAAACCTAAAACACAGCATGCATGATCAAGTTCTTGATAGACATAAAAAGGGAGCAGAAATGCAACTTCTATATATTATCAAATTTCTGGGGCGTGCAGTGCAGACACTTTACCGCATACCTCCAGCAGTGTAACCACAAAAAAATAACGCATAGAAAAATATTTTCAAGATCAAACAAGATCATGATACTATAGTTTATTCCAATTCCAAAAGTGACCTAATTTGCCTATTTCCGGAATTTCATTTGATATCATCAAACAGCAATGTAAATGCTAGTAAATTTTGAGAAACCTCTTAGACTAAGATAAATCACTGTAAAACATGGACCAATATATTTCAACTTTTTATTAGAAGGGTCTCAAATTGAGAAGAATCATCACTTCCACAGTTTCAATATATTGCAACTAACAAAAGGTTACTTCACACTCCATACATAAATCTCCAATCAGTTACACACGCCATCTAAGTAAACATACAAATGATCTTTAATTATAATTCCTAAGGAAGAAAATTGCACCAAAAACCAACTTCACATAATATCAGAACTAACAGATATTCAACGAGACACTCACAATAACAAAAGGTGGTTTGGAGCTGTTAACATCCGCCACAAAAAACCTTGATTTCTCCCACCACTCATACCACCTAAAATATAACATAGAAGTTAAGCATTTCATAAATTAAAGTGCAACGAGTATAGGGATGGAATTAACACTCACGATTTCTCCACGGCAGTTGGGCTATACTGCTTTGCCATTTGCCGAGCCATACGCTTTTTGTCACCCAATGGAGTCTCAGGATCAACATAATCTTCGGCATTCTCATCCTCCGCACCACGCTTCACAACTTTCTTTTCACTCTTTTTGGAAGCATTGGATGATTGCTGTGCTTGTTGCTGCCAGCACCAGATGGAAGAAAACAAACAACGAGGGGATTGCAATCATTATTTACAATACAAAATAGACAAAGACCACTGATGAACAATAAAAAAACATAGCAAAATCAAATCAAATGTAGCAATTGCACAACAGGGAAACCAGGAACTCTAGTCACCTGAGCTTGCTTAAGAAGAAACTTCTCTATCTTCAATTGTTTCTCTCTAGCCTGAGACAAAGCCATAAATTTGTGTCATGAGAGAAAAAAAAAAAAAAAAATAAGATAGTGTTAGTCCACTTAAATAACTTGCCAACAGATTAATAAATCATTAAGATTCAAAAAGGAATTAAAAAAACACAATTTTCCTTAAATCTCATTATTGCAAATCCTGATTAGTAAAACAATAACGACAATAAGATAGAGGATAAACCTTTTCTTCCTTCTTCTTTTTCTTCTCGGGGTCTTCGGGTGCGGGCTGCACTTGCTCTTTGTTGTTGGCAGAGGATTCCATTGATGAAGATTGAAGTCTGCGTATCCAAAGCAAAGAACGGCTCTTGCAGAATAGAGAGAAAACAAAGTAAGAAACCAAAGGCAAAAATAAACCCTGAAACCTAGCTGCACTTTAGTCCTTGTTTTTACTTTCGTTTCTTTGTTTCGAACCTGCGGCTACGGATGGAAGGGTTACCTTAACTTTGTCAAAAAACGGGCCGGGTAACTTCATTTGCACACTCGCACGCCTTGGTTTCTGTTTTTTAACAAATACTATTAATTTACATTTAACCAATCTGAGATTATATTATAATAAAAATACTTTGAATATTATATATACATATATATAATAAAGTTAAAAACTTAACGTGTATAGTACTTATGATTAAACAACAGCATAAAATCTTTTACTGCTAGACACTTTTTGTTCACAATGTTTTTCCTCTTATTTAAATTATAATAATAAGAATAACCACAATAATAATAATAATAATATACATAGGTAATTTTTTGCTTTGTTTAAAATAAATAAAAATTAATTTTTTTCATCCATTTATTTATTTATTTGACTGGGTTCTAAAGAAATTATAATTTTATTAACAATTTCTTTGCATAAAAATAAAATAAGAATATTTAAGCAAAATATTTTTTTCAATTCTCTTATTTTTTTTTTCCTCTTCGATCGAACTAGGTAGAATATGTTTATGACAGGACTCATATCTCATATTAACACAAAAAATATCCTCCACTGGATAAATTGACACTAATTTTCAAGATAAAGTCGGATATGAATCAATAGTATTTTTATTCAATGGATAGATCTTAAAATCACGTGTGAAGATACCAGTCTTTTTTCGCACGAAATAAATATTTTCTTAAGTTTAAGTTCAAAAAAAAAAATTATATAATTTTTGTAATAAATTAGATTATCATAAGTTAATTTTAATCTTTAGAATAACTCCTTTTTTTCCTCTCTTTTTCTCTTAAAAATACTTCTAGATAATTTTGTTCAAATACATATAATAAAGCGGAGAGATTTTAATGATTCATTCATGTTTTCCATGGATATCTTCAAGGACAATTCTTTCCCTTCTATTAAACAAAGTTGACATAAATATTTGAACATTTCTATTGAGATGGAATTTAAAGGCACCTGATTCATTGATAAAATATAATTTTTAAATTCAAAAATATTATTTCCCTAGGGTGATATGCTTTGATTATTAAAAGATGCATACTTTTTTGGAGGCCAAACTTAAATTTAATGTTCACAGACAATAATTTTGCACAAAAATAGACAATTATAACCACATCACTTCATATGTGAATATTTTTCATCATATAATCATATTCATAACTAGTCTCGCCACATTTTGTGAACACACACTCATTGTTCTACCTCATGCTTATGTGAGAAATAGAAGGCATGGAAATGCACAAGCGTTATCTTTTGACAATGGCTGTCCGGACTTGGTGAATATTTACATGAATATAGTGATATAACTCCAACTACATGTACAAAACATCGTTCTTATGCTGCAATGGATTGTTCAGGGGACTTCTCATTTCAAGTTACAACGTATATTTTACTGAGCGAATGATAATTCAAACCTGCTGACATCCCTCGTCTCAAAATTGAATGAAAAGGTTAATAATTTAACACATCTGCACAATTCATTTCCTAGCAGTTGGAGTAGCATATAAAACTTCCTTTACAAACCTGGTAGAACTCCAATTATTCACACTCTCATGCATGGTAATTAACATGGGAAGGTGAATGAAGATGAAAGGATCACAATAAGAGTGAGCAATTAGAACCACCAAATGATTAAACTGACAAACTCAGAACCACAACATGTACTAGAAGACAGCAACAAAATTTGGGAGACATATACAATTTGTTAGATGAATTTGCACCAGTAAGCCATATTTATTCACCACATAAGGCTATTCAATAATCTCTCCAGACGTTACCCTTTTAAATTTTAACAGACAAGAGACGATCTTGGTGACGTAGGAAGTTGGGTGCATGATGACCATCGAATGACCGATTCAGTGACCATAAGATCAAGTTGCTCATGCTCGCCAAATCCAATTGTCCGGTTTCTCTTGTTGTGGAATCCCAATGCCAAATGCCCGTTTGTTCCGCCAGCCCTTTTACTCTCTACGGGCTTGCAATCTATCTTTTTAACATCATGTCCAAAGCAAAGGGGAGAATCTACTAGTAGAAGCAATGATAAACATCAGATTAAAGGACTGAAAAAAATGAAGATATAATAAATGAAAAGCTCTAAATGTACCTCCAGAAATTGCATTTAAATTTGATGTTTTAGTTAGGAATTGCGATATACAACCCCTTTGCTCAACAGAACTGGAGCTGAGAAATGAAAAGCTAGGCATTGAGGGAATAGGAGAAGAAAATTCCAAATCAGTGGAAGCACCTGAGCTCTGAAATGAAAATTCACCAGAAACAGAAAAAGGTGTCACTGGTTCCTCAAAAGAGGAAGAAGAAAATGATGATTTGCATGTGAATATAGGCGATTGGGCACCACATGTAGGAGATTCAGCGCCAAAGCTGATATCTTTATTCCTGGACATAAACATGATAGAGAATGAGTTGCTACCAGCATTCCACTCCCCACAACTTCTACTTTTATTTTCACTTAGTTGTTCAGGATACGTTTGATTGTTTTGCATCCAGTGATGATCTGCAAAGGGAAAGTTCAGTTGAAGTTTAGAAAACAGATTATTTTTTGGGTGTTTTGTAGTGGACAGGAAAGGGATGCTATAATCACTTTCCATACTAATTAAACCACAACATAAATAATGGCTTTTGTGATTAGTTAGAACAAGCATGTAACCAAAAAGAAAAAAAGGCACCATGTTCAACCAAATACATGACATAAACTGCTCATCATGTTTAAAAAAAACAATTTTTTTTATCTTGGGGGCAGTATAATATGGATGTATTTCTAGGTGAGAAATATCGCCAGTATTAAATTCTTCATCTTTTGAAGAAATATGCTGGGTGATAGCAATTTCATTATTTCAACAGATGATATTTATATTTGATAATTCAAATCACTCAAATATTAAAACAAGAAACCGAAACAAATATTAATTCTGAACGTCAGAAGAAGAAACTGGGAACAACCTCACAGGAAAACAAGATAATAGAAACAACCCTGTTCCTTTTGGGGATGATGCGAGGAATAAAAGGTTGCATTCCAATTTATTAATACAACAGTTTAGAACAAGCACACTATTAAGATTAAATAGTATGAATTTCATACCGCAAGACATCCCCTTCTAATTTTATAATTTAGATTGCTATAGTTGATGGCAAACCCTTCTCTGTAATAATAACTAATAGAATAGTCATCCTTTAGTTAAGCTAAGCAGATTAGAATGTTACTTTGAATTGAGTTATTTGTATTCGATAACATAGTAGTACTCCTTTTACGTTCAATTGAACTGCCACAATTATATATATGTGTGTGGTGGGGGGAGGGATAGGATCAAATGACACCAAGTGTCAAACTTTGCAAAATAACACCTCCAATAACTATTATCAAAACAATTTATCAATATAACCACTAAATTTAATGTTTTCATAAAGTAGATCAAGTCTAAAAAATTTTGTTCAATTCAAAAGTTTAACTCATTCTCCATCTACCACTTTATCTTAACATAAAATATATTATCTTAACATAAATTTTGAAGTCTTTTATTCTTGAATCATCATCAAAATCTTTAGTCATCATATTCTTGCATTTTCAACAATCTCCCCCTTTTTTATGATGATCAAAATTTGTTTTAAAGTCTCTTTGTAATAACCTTTTTTCTGTCACAACTCCCATAGAAGAAGAAGAAAAAAAAAAAACCTACTATTGGATTGCAATCTACTAATGTCTACATGATCACCATGGTTGTATCACATAAATCAATGGTCGATTGATAAATTTTACTTTCAAAAAATTTTATTGGGGTTGGAGGTGTCATTTGACTCTTTCATTACACACACATACACACCCCTGACCTACTATTCTGAATATGGATCAAATAGCTTAAGTACATAGGATAGGCAGTAAACTTACCCAAAACCTCCTTGGCAGTGAGCCTTTGAGAAGATTCGGTGCAGAGCATTTCCCTAATCAAATCCTTAGCCGATTCAGAAACGCAATCCCAAGGCTCAGATGGAAACCTCAGGTTAGCAGTCTTAACAGCTTCAAATATCTGTGACTTTGTCTTTCCCCAAAATGGAGGCATCCCACTCAGTAGAATGTAAAGAATAACCCCTGCACTCCAAACATCAGCAGCTTCATTATATGCACCTGCCAGTACCTCTGGAGCTATATAGAATGGACTCCCAACCAACCCGTGCAAACTCTGTCCTGCTTAAACAAACCCCAATTTTTGAAGATGAAAACCAGGTATATCAAGTGAAGGAATGGAATGCACGGAATTTTTAATGTCTGCAAAAGAAGCAAAAGAAGCAAAAAAATAAATTACCAGGCTTGATGTAGGTTGCAAGCCCAAAGTCTGCCAGTTTTATAGCAGATGAAGAAGATCTAGTTACCAAGAGAATGTTTTCAGGCTTCAAATCTCTATGAACAACCCCATTCTCATGACAATACAAAACCATCTGCATGAGATGCCTAAAGAGAACCCGGACTTCAAATTCGGAAAACCGTCCATGCTTCTCTAACAAATGAAACAACTCTCCTCCAGCACAAAGCTCCATCACCAAATGAACAAAATCTTCCTCTTCATAAACCGCCTTAAGATCTACAACATTTGGGTGCCCTGATAACCTAGTCATTATCTCAATCTCAAGTTTAACACTCTGCAGATCATCTGAAGTAACCAACCTAACTCTTGCAATAGATTTGCAGGCCAAAACCTCTCCTGTCAGCTTGTCAGAGCATGCTCTTATGATACCAAACTGCCCCCACCCCAACTGCTCTCCAAGAACATATCGATCCTTCAAATTAGAGATTTGGTCTGTGTCTAATATGGTTTCGGTCAAACTTGCCACTTTGTAACTATTATATGAAGTTGAATTGTCACTTCTGGTGTAGCTCTTGGTAATAGCCATAGCAATGTTTTAACGGGTCAACAAATCCACAAAAACCAGTGACTACAATATATTTACCCGATAAATTCTCTTTCTAAAAGAACTGGTTCTGGAAAAGGGGATGACCACTTTGACAAAATATGATTACTAAACACCAATGCCAAACTTGATGCTGCCGAAACCTCACTTCAGGTCAAAATCCTTGAAGAAACTCAATTAGGTCGATATGTCATTTACTGCAACTCTAAGTAACATAATACCATGAATCTGACAAGTAAAAGCCAGAAAAAAGCGAAAGTCTGACTCCTCAACTAAGAACACGTATCCCCTGTCCAAATCAGTTTATCCGCAAAAAACAAAGAATATGAGACTTCTCTCATTTATTGCAAAATATGTATACAGCAATAAATTACATATAAGTCATCAAATTCTGCACAATTCCACAAAATAATTGAACATTAAAATCTTTTTAATGGATAAGACACCTAACAACAAATTCTAATCGGAGTTATCGATTAAGACATAAACGACCTGTGTAAAACTCCAAAACGGCAAAAAAAAACGATCACCCAGAAGCAATGAACCAAAAAAACAACTAAAAATAGCATTAAAATTCAGTCAAAACTTAATATTATCATATCATTGAACAGCCTCAAATCTTACCAGTTGCCAATAAAAAGTTGAAATCGAAAACGAAAAACTTAATCTGAAAAAAAAAAAAAGTGCTTACTGTGTGAGAAAGAGGGGCAGAGGGACCTGAGGAAATGAAAGAAAGGAGAGACAAAAGAGAGATTGGAGAAGTGAGTCGGGAGTCGGGACCCCCAATCCCGACCCAGGCTTTCGCTGAATCTAAAACCCAAACGTTTGCATCGTTTTTTGGGTTTTCAAAAAGTGATTCAACGTTCTTTCCTTCCTCCAACACCAATACCTCCAAAATAAAATAAAAAATAAATCAAATATTAATAGTAGGGGAAAATCTTTTTCTCTTGCTTTATTTCGTGAAAATTGATTTAGTTAGTTTTAAAAATAAAAAAAATGACTTAAATTATTTTATTAACTTTATAATCATTATTAAATATCCTTTTTAACATGAATCAATTGTAGAATATCCTTGTATCTGAGTATCAGAGACAATAAAAATATACTCTCACCTTCATATAAGATAAGAATTTTTTTTAGAAATTAACTTTTATATTGATTGATTATGTCTTAATATATTACAAATATTTTTATTTATAGACATATCATGAGTTGAAAATTTTGTTAAATTAAATTAAAAATTATCATTAAAATTAACTTAAACATGAAAAATAACTAAAATCATATATATTTAAAAACTTAAGCATTAAATTTATTAATTTATAAATATAAAAATTAAAAAGACATCAAAAAAACAAATGCAATTCTTATAAAAAAAACTTAGTTTGTTTATTATTTATTAAAACATTTTTTAATTTTTAAAAATTAAAAACTTGTTTATTAACTATTTTATTTAAATGATTTTTTTAATTAAAAAATAAAAACTGATAAAAGATGTTTTTATAAAAAAAAATTATTAATGGATAACATATTTTCATTAATAATTATATTAAATTATTTATTTTTATTATCATAAATTAATCAAAATTATTTTTTGATTTCATTATTTTCATTTACATTTTTTTCATTTAAAATATTTTTTTAAAATAAAACTATTAAATAATTTTTTTAATTTGAAATTTAATTCCTAAAACAACGAAATCTGATCATCACCGATACCAAATATTAAAATGTGTGCTTTTTTCACTGTTAAATATTCTTATGTAAAATAGAGAAATATAGATATATAAATTTCAATGGTTATTTTTAATGATGATGAAAAAAATACAATAAAAATTAAAATACAATGTATACATATTTAAAACTCATCCCGTTCTTTTCCTGTCCAAAAATGGGACTGTTAGTTATTTACAGTGAAGACCGATTATAAATTTTAATTCGGTAAATTAGCAGTTAATCTGTCACTAATTATATATATATATATATATATATATATAAATGTTTTAAATTTATTATTTATTAATTAATATTTTTATTTAATATTTTTATAAAAAATATTATATTAAAATATTAAATTATAACCATAATATTATAATAATTTATATATTTAAATAGCACAAAATAGATAAAATATTTTTATTTTAATATATAAATAATTTAAGTCAACTAATTTATTAATTTTACAATATTAAGAAATAAACTCTTGTAATTATTTTTAGAGAAAAAAATAATAATTTTTTTATATAAAAAATAATAACTTACGGAAAAAAATTAAAGAATAAAGAATCATACGAGAAAGTTTCACAAACTACTTTATATAAGTTAATTTTAGTTTATTAAAAACTTATTTTAATTTAATTTTTTTTATAAATATTTATGAAGAAGTTGGTATAATCATACCCTTGAAGAAAACTTATTAATTTAGACTCAGACAACAAATTCTAAGTAATAAAACACTAGCATTGTTACTATAATTGTTAAACATCAAACACAAAGTGTAATGTAGGATCTAATAGACTTTTTAAGCGACTTAAAGATCTAGAACTAATTTTTTATCTAAACAAGTTTTAACAAATTAACTAGATTTGTCGAACTTATTGCAATTGCAATTCATATTATAAGTTTAAAATAGATAATCTGATGTAGTTTTGAATATATTCATTAAAAGAGACAAAACTAATGGTTGCATGCACGTTAACATTAATTTGGAGCAATGGGTATGTGTTGTTCATTATGATAATTACAGCTAAGCTTATACACCACACATTACAACCAAACACATGGGTATTGTCAGATCAATGGGTGGCATCACCAAATATTGGTTCCTAACCATGTATCATTTTTATTTTAAAAGGCTTGTTTTTTATTTCAAAATGATTAAATAATTTTGTTATGAATAAATATTCGGATAATGCTTGACAAACCAAAATGATGATTTTGAAATTAAGAAAAAAAGTATTTTTTTTAATTATTAAAATCAAACTTAAAAGGATGGACAAATAAAATTATATTTTATATAAAATAAATATGATATCGATTTACATATTCATGAAATAAAAAATGTTATTATTACGAATATAACATTTAAGGAAAAATATATTTGTACATTCAATGTTTTCTATTATTTTATAATTTTTTTTAGGAAAAAGATGATTAAAATTTTGAATTCAAATCTAAGGAGGAAGAAATAATTTAACCTTTCTAAAAACATATATTTTATCATTAAAAATGTTGAAAGGAGAAACTGACCACAACCAAGTTTAAATCGCCATTCTCGAGTTCTTGATTCCAGTTGCCTTGCCGTTGATCTTGTCATAAAATATTTGAAATTGTTGGTCAACCCTATCTTGTGGTGTGGGGTGAAAATTGTTAACACTCCCAATCTTCAAATCCTTAGTTAAAATGTTGACAGAAGGATTATGCGTCAGCCACAAAAGTCTATGATGGTTAGTTCATATTTAAGTTTCTTCTCCTCCCCGCATCTTCTTCCTTTTTTATTTTTTATTTTTTTCCTGTATTTGTCTAAGATAGAGTCTTTTAAAAGATAATTGAATTGGAATTATAAATGTTGATTAGAAAATCAGTAATTAAAATTATGATAAACCATATGCTTGTTTATATAACAAATTATAAAATACTTCAAATTTAATGTTTCTTAATGAGTCTCTTTTAAAGAAATGCTCTCCCCTTTCTTTTAAAGGAGGTAAATTCATTTTTTTCAACCACTCTTTCCTTGCCATGTCTCTTTTCAGAGATGAAACAACCATTCATTTTCTTTTATAGAGAAACAACCATTTCAAATTGCCGTTCAATTGTGGAAAAGGTAATCTTTAATTTGGGAAGAACGTATATTTCGAAACAAATATCACATTAATTTCGAAAATAATTAACAAACAAAAAAGATATTAAAACGATTATGTAAAGTTTGAAAACCCATACCTAAAAGTTAGATGAAAAAAAAATTTGGAACAAATGTCGGATTTAATATTAAAGAAAATGTGAGAATATTTAGGATAATTACGGAGGAAACAAGTATAATTCATCCATTATTTATTGAATATATTATTGGAAAAAAAAAAGGTAATTGACGTTTTCTTTTATATTTGAAAGTGATGGCAATCTGAGATGGAGAGGTAAAGAATAAAAATTACGTCATTCTTATCAAAAGTTAAAGAATTGTCACAACTCTTCACGTTAACTACCATTACGATTTACAAGGATGTCATATAAACGAAGAACTATTTACAACATATCACTCTTACCCACTAGAATTTGAAGAAAGGTTCGGATAATTTATATGGAAGTTCTCAGTTCAATTCGTATTTTCATATAGCTTGTTCACAAGTTCGTTGCATCATTTTTAGATACAAAATATGCCACTAATCTATGGTTAAATTGAACGAACCGAGACCGTATATATATGCATCTTCATAATAAAAAGTGATGAGACGAGACTAATATACTAAAAGAGAGTTTGAATTTTATTGTTTCTAATGAAGTATTTTTATATGTGAAAGGTAACTTCTTTTCTATTTATAAATCATATATAACTTCCACAAGAAAACTAAAATAAAATAAAATAATTATAAATAACAAATATTTTTATATGAATATTTAATACAGTTACTCAATTAACTTTGTGTTAACTAGAGATTTGATTAACATAAAAGCTCAGAAACAAAAATTAAGAAGCTAAGCTACGAATTAATTATGAATATTTTTTCTTCCTTTCACCTCTTTCATGAGTAAATATGTATACAATGAAGAAGACGTGGAACCCGTTTGACTATAAGATTAAAAGAGGTTTTGACAGGTTTTATAATGAAAAAGATACAAGATTTGAGTGGAAAAGGCTTCCAAAATCAGTGAAAGTGGAATCCGTGTCTAGAAAACCTTGTTGCATTGGAATAAGGTGGAATTACCTCCTTGAAAAGTTTCTTAGTATTGACGGGTGGGAGTGATTTTGATGACAAGGCCAGGGTAAACATCATCCGGGTCATGGATATGCGGGTTCCGTTCCACGATAAACGGGTCATTGCACTTGTCGCTGATTGTGTGCAGGGTCTCCCCTTCTCCCACAACGTAAATTTCATCGCACGGTCGTTGACGGAGGTTGTTCCCTTTTATAGCCTCACCTTCTCCCGCCACCGCGCTTTCCCTTACTGATCCCAACAGTATCATGCCCAACAACATCACGGCACAGTACGACGCCGCCGAATCTCCTACGTTTTTTCCCGCAGCGGAGGAACCCATCTTATGCTATGTTGTCTCAGAAAACAAAATGAAATATGGACTGGAATAACAAACAAGCTTTCACTATATATAGATACATTATAGCGTTGTTGTTATGTGACGTATTGTGTGTTGGTTGGGTAAGTATCATGATGATGCGTACGTAGTATTAGTAGTATCTTTGCCGTTTGGCTTGGGGGGAAGTTGGGTTCAACGACATGGGTTTTGGCGTGTAGCAATTGAGTTAAGCTCTTCTTCTTTTGATGACACAGGTAGTCATCATGATCTCGTATTGACACGCTAAAAGCTTTGGTCTTAATCGGGGGTTTAGTTGAAATTTGTTGAGTGGATGAGGGGTAATTTTACATTAATATTGCATAACAATTAACCCCTATTTTCATTCTACTTTTAATCTCTCTTTTTTTACATAAAATATTATATAAACACAAATTTAATATATCATTAATATTTGTCGTGAGTAAGAGGACGCAGTAAGGTAAACCAGATAATCGACGCGTAGACTCATTTTTTGTTGCCACCTGTAGGATTAGTTAATATTCACCTCCTCGGAATAGCATAGTGGGTGCAGAAAGTGGTTGAAGAAGAGCACGATAATAAATTGTATTTAATAAATAATTTGTCTTCCTTATTTTTGTATGTAAAAAAATATTTTTATTATCGTGTTACTTTATTTTTTCTATTACTTCTAATCCACGCACCTTAACAGTATGTTTGTTTGCACTGATAGACTGATCACGAAGATAGAAAGACGAGGATGACACACGTTTGGTTGAACAGAAACACGACGAAATGAGAGCGAGGAAAAGCGGGAGATGGGAGAAAGAGGATCTTCGCTGATCCACAAAGAAAAGCGACGAAAGCCTCCTGGACAAATTGAAATGTCCAACTTACCCTCACTCTGGAAGATTCATCTGGTGCAAGCATGCAGAGAGATTACTCGGAATATAATTTATGCGAGAGGATTCACTGGAAGAAGCTGGAATATAATTTATACGGAGAGATTCACTAGAAGAAGCTGGAATATGAAATATGCGAGATAAAATGTAGACTTTAGATAGCGGTTCCACGTTAATCGCTATCGGATGTTCACTTTTAAGAGCGGTTCTTAAATGTGAACATATGATAGCGATTAACCTGGAACCGCTTATCATATGTTCACCTTCGATAGCGGTTCCAGGTTAACCGCTATCTAAAGTCTCGAGTATTTGAAAATCTGATTGATCATTTTGGCAAAGTAATTGATCAGATTTTCAAATACTCGAGACTTTAGATAGCGGTTAACCTGAACCGCTATCATATGTTCACCTATGATAGCGGTTTCAGGTTAACCGCTATCTAAAGTCGATCATTTGAAAAATTATATCTTCTAAAATATAATTTACTTTCATTTCATAATTATTTGTTATTATCAGATCAATATTAATTATTATTTTATATTTTATAATTATTTAATTATTAATCAAATAATTTATTTTATATGTCAAAATTATTTTTTTATGGATATGCAATGTACATAATTTTGTAATTGTTTATTTATATAATTTTTAATAACTATTTAAAAAAAGTTAATTTTTTAAATTTGTTTCCAATTACAAACACTTTTAAATTTGTTTTTTCTTTTAAATATATAATCAATGTTAAAATATGGATAATTAATTAAAAAATTATATTTATAATCATTTGAACCTTATTTTATACAAAGGGTAAAATGGTAATTTTCTTAAATAATCAATTAAAATTATAATTTTTATATCTCATATCAATCAAATCATTCACAATTTCTCATAAACTTTCCTTTCACTTTCCATTCATCCAAACAACTTTAATTTCATCTCCATTTCTCTTCAAATCCCTCCTTTTCCACTCTCTCATTTCCATTCTCTCAAATCACTCCATCCAAACAAAGCATAAAGAAATGTTAAATTAATGATCTAGTTATTTAATATTTACTCATAAATAATACTGTAGGTGGCTAATTAGTTTAGGAGAATAATTTGAAATGGCTGCATAAAAAGTAATTATAATATAATTCCGTAGCCATCACGGGTCAATGAAGAACATTCTGGTCTTTAAAGCATTGCTGAGAAGCCCTTTTGATACTATTTGGGTATGGTTGAAGACAAATTTAGGTCCCTTGGAATGGGTCATTGGAGAATATACGTCATAGCCATTGTAGAGAAATTAAGATTCTCAACCCAAACAATGGGAAGTAACCACTGTTGCATTTTATTTGAATGGAAACTGCAAAAATACAAAATTATCACTTCAAACAAAGGGGTGTTCTTCCAACAATTTTAAAATATTATTTATTTATTAATATTATAAATATTAACATAAAGCAATTGTTATTAGTTTTTGTTTTTATCGAACGGAAGATGATCAGTAAGACTATCGCCGAGTTGAAGATGATCAGTAAAATAAGAAGATAAAGTCGATTGACCAATTTTCGAACTAATTTTAAAGACAATTTTTGGGAAAGCGCAGAGGCTCACATGCAAAAGACATTCTGATGCTCAAGTTAACTTTTACATAAGATAAATCTAAGAGAATGAGTTATGAGGTGAATTTTACTCCCTAGTTAGGTCTTTTTATATAACATTTAAAAGATAACAATGTACTGAGATAAATGAACTGATAACCCATAAAATAATAACTAATATAAGATATTATATAGTTAATCACAAAGTAAATAAAAGTAGTTTCTTTAATGAATTTTGACCGATAAACACAATTAAGTGGCCCAATAGTTTTGGATCAAGTAGGTACATAAGCCTCACAAGCTTAGAGGACGAATATTAGACAAGTTTTTTGGCTTTGAAGAACGACCTCTTAACGGACTACGCTAATAGAATATTGAGAATTCGAAAAGACGTTATTTTTTGCAAAACTTATTTTCTCGTTTTTCATTTTCACATTTCTCTCATTTTCACTTTTCTCTTCTTTTCAACGCTTCTTTTCCCTCATTTTGCTTGAACATTTCTTCATCTTTGAGTCTTCTCTCTGCGTATCCACTGCATTCATAGGTACATTTTTTATACTTTTACATTATGTCCAATTTAAATGCTAGCAAACCTGATGTTGTATTTGTGAGAAAGATGCGAACAACTTTAAGGTTGACAAGTAGTTCTGATGAGGAACGCACCCTTTTTGTGTCTATAGAAAATGTTTCGGTGATGGGGGTTACCAGAGTTACTGGTGAAGTTTTTTTATAGAGAGGAGACAAATCAATCGTTCCTAACTTAAGAGGAAAGCCCCCTCTAATCCTGTTAAGAAGACAAGTAAGGAATATGAGAATAGCGATAATCGTAAAGATTATCCGTGCATTACTTCCCCCGAATATTCTTGGGTTTCTAGTGCTGTAGATTCTTATATTTCTAAGTTTTTATCCCCTTTGTATTTTCTTGGTTTTTATCAATACATCAATATTGTTTTAGAGGATAATCTAAAGTTATTGGCAGCAGAGCATTGTTCGTCTTTAGACCAAGTATACCAAAGTGGTTTGGACGAGCTCTTTTTTGCCTATGAGTGTTGGTTTAAAGATTTGGATATAAGCATCCTTTTTAGCGACTTTGAATGCGCCATGTTAACTGAGTTAAATGTAGCACCTACCCAACTTCATCCCAATAGTTGGGTTTTTCTCAAGGTCTTTCAAATTTTGTGTTCTTTGTTGAGTATTGCACTGTAAACAAATTTAAGTATTTTTATCAAGTGAAGTATTGTAACAAGATTGGTTGGATATCCCTGAACGATGCTTAGTATGATGGTATTTTCATTTAATCGTTCAAGGGTTTTAAGTCTTGGTTTTTCTCAATAAGGTGCTCTTCATCTGACCCCTCAAAGAGCCTACTACGTTATCTCAACGATACTATTGTTTTGGTAGCGAGCTCCACTTAATTTTAAATCTCGGGCAAAACATTTATTGTCTTCTTTCGAGAAAGAAGATATCTAATTAATAAAACAACTTCCTCGTCCTATAAACTATAAAGCCTTAATAAATATTTCTTTGGCCGAGGATTAGCTTTTTATGTTTATAGGTAGTATTTACTAGTTTTCTTTCAATGGGCTCGTTTTTCTACTTGCTTTTTCTAACCTGTATTTTTTGCAAAGGTCATGAAACCCAAGTTTGATTATAAAAAGATGAGGGAAGAACTTGGTCGCATACTAATTAGTCCTCGGCTAAACCAGTCGGGGGCGTCCAAGTGTCAATGAGTAATGTGATCATCTTCCTCTACTCCTTCTGAACCTAATTACGTGGACTTGAAGAACATTCCTTATGAACAGTTGCCCACAACACAACACATCTTTCGCCAGTTTTCGATCTTTCTCCTAGTACTTCGGGAGTTATTGTTAGAGGTCAGGAGGGCCCTATTCGGTGGTTGGATCATGTGTCCACAACTTCTGACGTTGAGTCCTTGTGACATACATCTCTTACTTACGATCAACTTCTTATCATTAACGTACCATCGCGGTTTGATTCTGACATCATGAATCATATGGGTGTTAAGCGTAACTTAGAATCTGTTTAGGTGATGATGCTCCAATGTTTATCTATAGTTTGTCATTTGAGGACGTCATCGACCTCGACTTGTGGCGATAAAGTAAAAATATTGAAGAAAGATTTGGATGAGTCACAACAAAAAGTGGCTACGTTAAACTCTCAATTGAAATCTTATGAGGATATTATTTCTGTTAAGGTCAAGGAAAACAAAACACTTATTTCTCGTGCTTTGAAGGCTAAGAGTGACTTGCAAGCAGAATCGAGCTCAAAGGTAAAATTACTATACTAGAAAAGGAGTTGTATCAAGGTAAGAGTCAATTGATTGAGTTGAAGAATACAATGTTAAATAGTTATGAGGATGATTTTGAGAAAGTTGTGGGTTAAGCTATCCTATTCGTCCTCGAGCTTGATGTCGCTCGTTTTGATATTGAAAAGATATTCATGATGAAGCGTTAGTAGATGATAGTTAGTTTAACATATGGTAGTTAGTAAGAAAATATTA